TAGAGCTAAGTGACTCCAATGATAATATTCAAGTGTTATAGGAAAATCCAGATTTAGCATCAACGAAATGCTTACTTACCAAATAAATGGAAAGGAAAAACACATAAATAAAGAGTGTAAAAGAAGAGGATGAGAATTTAAATGAGTGTATTTCTTCATAGATCGATAACTGGATAAATTAACAATTCCATGAGCTGGAGTGATGTGATGATAAGTTTCTGCCAGTTGATGTCATGATAATTGAAATACCTGGCGGGGACCAAAGCCTATGGCCGAGAACTTATCTTTCATTTCCTGAACACTTTGCTTTCACCCACAGGGGAACCCTCCCTTCTGGACCTGGCTCTTGAGCATCTGACCTCCCAAATTGCTTGTCAAACAAGCCCCACTGTAGTTACAAAAAGCAATTGTATCCATTACATCCACGTCCCCTAATAATTTTGAAATAACTGATCACAAAATTGGACACAAAATATATATGGCCGAATATAGTTTTTCAAAAGTGGATCTCATTAACAAATCATGTAAATTCTTTGACCAGTTTCTGTGTTCGTAGCAAATTTGATAATTTGAGTTAAGCGAGGTAAAGCATAATGGATACCACATATGAAATGTGTATACACAGAGACTCCACATAAATACACAGAGACTCCATGTGCAATTGTGCACACACTATAGTCTATTCATCTACCATAAATTTGATGATGAACATATTGGTAAAAACAAATGATTTATAGAGTACACTCCACATAAATACGATGACTGATTCCAGAGTATCTGAGCAAGTTAATGGCCATGTAGGTAGTGTACAGGACAAACTTGGTGATAAGTATGACATGCAACCTGCAAATTGGATGAGATCAGCAAATGAAATAGGACCACCCTTGGAATATGAATCTATTTCCTTCTTTGCTTCCTCTAATAAATTCATTGCGGCGGAGAGCCCCTTATTCTCTGGTCTGCTAATCTCTGAGCTTCAAGCAAGAAAATATAATTGACAAGAAAAAAATAATAAAAAAAACATCAAGGTAACATTTCAGCATTGACTTAAAAACTTCTAACCGAAAAAATAAGAAGCAAGGAGTGAAAACAGTTCAGCCAAAAGACGCAAATAAAAGGAAACTCTGATGCCTAAACCAACTAAATCCAGGATCCAAAACCTCAATACAATTTTGACAATTTAACATAATTTTCATATTCCATAACCTTTTTTTACCACATTTAATACATCTGCTTATCATCGACACTGAAATAATAGGGTCATTTTGTGAATTGGCATTAAAATCCCTAAAAAATAAGCCCGAACAAAACATAATAGATGAATCATCTTTGGTTTGGTGAAAATCTTCACTGTACATGAAATACCAATCCTAATTTTTGATAGAATGCAGAATTTCATTCTTTTACTTTATTCTTTAATACTACATACTTATGCGTGGTAATGCTATATGTTAGAAGTACCTGAAACGTACAGATCCATTTGGGCCACCAGATTTTGTGGCCTGCAAAACTCAATTAGAATCATATGAGCTTTCTTGATATGTAATGTTTAGGAATAATATAAATTTCTACTTTCATCTCAAACTGTCAACAAGTAAAACTCTTTCTCACCTTATCATAAGTCATAGCATCATTCATCGCCAAAGTCAATAAGGATGGAACAAGATCTGGGTTTGCCTGAAATCGGCACATCAAGAATCAATGAAGCATTGTAGGTTTAAATATCAATAAAAATATATGTTATTTTTTAATTAAAATTTTAAATAAATTTATTTTAAAAAATAATAATAATTAAATAATGAAATAATGAAATTAAATAAAACATCTATTAAACAAATTAAATTGATCCAAAAATGCTCATGAAAGTCAAAATTGTTCAAGAAAGTCAAAACTGGCCCGCGCATACCTTGCACGCGTCGATTTTTTGTCCAAAAAGCTAACGGTGGTTAACTATTTGACCATTTCGAGCCAAAAATCAAACTGTAGGGGCAAAATTGAAACAATTAGAAGTGCAGGGACCAAAATGAAAACATGGGTAAACTATAGGGACCATTTATGTAATTTGTCTAAAAAAAATTCATGACAGGTAATAGTTCTGATATTGATACACTGCAACCAATTAGGCCTAATCTATGGCCACCATATCTTCCTTAGGGCTTAATCTCAAGGAGATTATGGGTTCAATTCCCCTTAGAGGGGTTGAATTAAGAAAGTGCAAGCATTTAAGTGCTTTGCCAAGGGTAGTGAGATTTTCTCCCATAGGTACTACTCTAATAACTAATAATTAATATTTGCCGATCAAAAATATATATATATTAATACACTGCAATTGATACTAGACATTACATGTTTAGAGCATTGTTATATTCATGATATGCTATACCAACAAGCACGTAGCTTACTTTTTTTTCGCTAATTCTATCTCTCTCTCTCTCTCCAAAAACTTCCACCCCTGGGCCTCACTTTTGGCTGGCCGGCCGCCACCTTGGGCTATGGCGGTCGGCTGGTCCAGCTCCCTCTTATGTTTGTGTGTTGGTATTTCCTTATAATAACTCGATTCCCATAATGTTTTTCCACTTAGGTGTGTTTCGGTGTTGCTGGTCCAGCTCCTATTGGGGTTGTATGTTTTTGTTTCACCAGGGAGTGCTTGCAATGGGGGTCAAAACATTGTAGAAGGTGGTCGATTTTGAAACCGGAATAGCGGTTGTTCTAATCTGGTTAGGGGTTTCATTCGGGCGCTCCTGTGCGAGTAGGAGTTTGAGGGATGAACTCTGGTTCGGATCTATGGTGATGCTTCGGTCCAGATCTAAGATCTAAGAGTTCAGATCTAGATCCAGATCTAAGATTTCATTTGAGCGCTCCTTTTCGGGTGGGTGTTTGAAGGGTGAACTTCATCCAGATGTATGGAGGTGCCTCAGAGGTTGTTCGTTGTTTTGGGTTGTTAACTTTGGAGCTTCTGCAGTGGGTGTGTTCGGAGTTTGGATCGGAACAGAGGTGTTCGACCATGGAACTGGTGATGGCAGTGGGTTTTGAATCGGAATAGCAGTGCTTGGTTGCTGTGAGTTTTGAATCGGAAAAGTAGTGCACGGTTGCTGTGAGTTTTGAATTGGAAAAGCAGTGGGTTTTGAATCGGAGGTTTGAATCAGAAAAGCAGCGTTCCGATCGTGGAAGTGGAGATGGGTGTTCTAACGGAGGTCTTGGTAGGCTCGACTGATAGTGTGAGTTTATTGTTCAGGGGCTTGCATAGGAGTTGGCATTCAAAGAGGTTGCTAGCATGGAGTTAAATTATGGTTACATAAGCGAGGAGGATGGTGTACCAGGGTAGGTTCGGAGTAGAGGTAGAGGGGCAACAGCAGAGTGAAAGAAAAGTTGAAAAAGAGGCTGATGATGGTGGGCCAGCAGCAGAGGTAGAGGAGGTGGCTAATATTCATTTGGCAAATGTTACCAGGCTTAGGCCTTGGAAGGCATGGGTCTTGGTTTGGGTGGGCTGCTGAATGGCTTTTAGGTTGGGTGGTGTGGGCTTTAGGAGTGCAGCACAGGTGAATTGGGTCTTGGTTGGGTGATGGTGAGTCAGCAGGCGTGGGTCTTGGCTTTGGTGGCGTGCGTAGGTCTTGGCAGCACAGGTGAATTGGGAGTGCAGCAGCTTAGGAGTCAGGTTGTGTGGGCTGATTTTGTGGGGAGTCATGTATTTTATTTTCTAGTTAAGTTCTTCTTAACTTTTTTGTTTAAAAATAAAAAAATAAAAATCGTGAGGTCAAGGGGTTGGTTGTATGGATGCAAGTAGCAGTAGTAGGGGTATTCTGTACTTTCTGAATCTCTCTCGATGCATGTCATCTTCCTGTACCTTTAATTTCATGCTGTTAATGAAATTTTACTTTGCTGATCAAAAAAAAAAAAAAAGCTGGTAAGGGGCTATGGTAGCTTAACCAAGATCTCGGGTTCGAGACTTAGGAACGCAGCTGTGTTAAAAACTTGTTAGGAGAGCTTTGCCGCCCTTGTGGTCCTACCCAGCTCGAGCCATAGTTCTAAATATCGGCCGATACATATCGAAAAAATGGGGTACCGTGACGGATACAGGCCGATATATCACTGAGATTGAAAATCGCAGAAATATCGGCCGAGTCCCGGTACGTATTGGCCTGTAAGCGTTACACAAGCCGCGACGGGCCGATACTCACTAGTTTGGACCCGTACGGGAAAGAAAAAGTTGAAAAACCTTTGAAATGATTTTTAAAATTTCACCACCGCGACACCTGATTCCCGATATGTACCAATCGATACTACCGATACCGATACGCCACGATCGATACCGTTACGTTACCCGATACCGCAATTTAGAACCTTGGCTCGAGCCGGATTAGTCAGGGTCCTGTGAACTTCCGAATACCGGTGGTTTAGACGTAAAAAAAAAATATGCATGATATGCTATGATCAATATTATTACATGTGCCTATACATGATTTAAAACTACTTACATTATATTAATTTGAATTTACATCATAAACACAAATTTCAGGATATTTTTCAAACTAAAATTCTAGGTAAATACTGGGTAGATTACATTTTCCTTTTGATTGGTTTGTGCAGTTAGTTAGTCGTAGGCTCTGATTGGATGATGAATTCCAATAAGAATTTAAAAAGAAAAAATATATGAAAGGTATATAAAAATAAAGCTATATTTTACTTAAATTTCATTTACCTTTCATTATTCTTTCTCAAATTCCTATTCAAATTCGGAAAGTAACAAACTATTTTAATAATTTTTTAATTTTTTTATGAAAAGTTGTATATAAAAATATAAATAGTATAATGTAATAATTTATAATGATTTTTTTAATTTTTTTTTTTTTGACTAAAATATTTAATCCGAGGCTCTTTCTTTCTCTCTATATACACGTAGGCATAGAACATTCTCTGTAAGATAAGAGTCTGAGTCTCTATCAGTTGCGGGTGGTGGTGGAGAGATGGATGTTGCCCTCACGCAGCGTCCCCCCCTCTCTCTCTCTCTCTCTCTCTCTCTGTGCCAATTTTTACGCCGCCTTTTTTCCCGCCCAAAAACTTTTCCACCAATTTAGCTCACTCCAACAATGAAAGACAGTGAAATCATATATATATATACAGGATGATGATCATCAAGCTAGCTCTCAACCCTAATCTTTCATCATTAGGGTTTCCTTTTTCTCTCTCATCTCCATGTTCTCTCTCTTTATGATCCGACAACTCAACAACCTTGACGACAGCTTGTGGGGCGTACAAAAGTTGGCGGTTCAAGTCCCGAGAGGGCATATTGTTCTTTTCCAGTTTTTGTTTGTGTGATTTAACATTAGCTTCTTCCTCTATTGTTGGAGCAAATACAGAATTCACACCCAACTAGTACTCCCAATCTAAATTCGGATAAATAAAGTTTAGATTCTTGAAACAAGATTTTGACTCTACCCAGATCTGTGGTTTTTAAATTTGAGGATCTTTGTTGCCTGATCTGTAAGCTCTCTCTCTCTTTCTCTCTCTCTCTCTCTCTCTCTCTCGCTCTCTCTCTCTCAAGATGGCTATTATATGTGGGTGATCTTTTGAATATATATTATATTTGAGGATCCTTTTATTGAGGTTATAAGTTTGTGGTTTGGAGTAGAAGTTTTTTTTTTGCGATCTAGGATCGGAAAAAGTATTGTCTTCTGTTTTGGCAATCTATAAACATTCTCATCCATGTATAGGGATTTTGTGATTTCCAATCTATCATTCTCGGGGTTGCAACATATACTATTTCACTGAACTCTTCGATTCATTTTTATAATTTTTTTTTTTTTGATCAGCAAACAAAAGAGAATATATATATAAAAAAACGAACACCAAACATCAGAAGCATAGCAATTGACACCAAACAAACTTGGCACCAATGAGCTAGCCGAACATCCGCTAGTAATACAATCGTTGGTGAGAAACCAACAAGAGGAAAACTAACAGGAAACAGAGGAGGATAACAGCATACACCTTAGTAAAAGAAGCATACACCTTAGTAAAAGAAGTCAGGCACAGCAGAATAACCCCAGCAGAGGCACAGCATAGTCCGAAAGAAAACACAGCAGAGGCACAGCAGACAAGCAGCAGCAGAATCCGGAAAGAAGAAAAGAAAATAGCACCAAAATAAACTCCAGGAACAGCACCATTTTTATAATAAAATCATCTTTTTTGCTGATCAGTTATTAATTCAGAATTTTGTGATTTGAAAATGAATCCGCAGCCAAATGTTTTCCTTGAAAAACATAATATGATGATCTTAGAGTGTAAATCAAATTATTCTCTGAATTCATTCACATTGCTTGTTGCTACCGATATCCATTATTCAGTTATCGTATCGTTTGTCAAAGAGAAGACACAAATAGTTCACTCACATTGCATGCATACATATCTTTGTTTGAATTCTGAAGCTGTCTCAAAAGAAAATATAGAAACCTTCTGACCATTTTATTTTTCATTATCATGTTAAACATTGACATGTTTGGTTTTGTTTTGTTACAATTTTTTTTTTCTTTTCTTTTTTGGACGGAGGAAATTATTTGTTTTGTTACATCTTGCTTGAATTGCACATAAGCATACAATTGTATTTTCTGAATTTGACACTAAATGATTACGATTTAGGTGCTTAGCTTTTTTTCTTTAGATAGTTTATTAACTGTGAAAAGTGATTATCCTGATGGATATGAGAGACGTGCCTTGCATTCTTGTCTTCATTAGATGTCGCTCGCTAGTTCAAAAGCATCATTGTGTAGATTATATATCATAGAGAGCTCATAAAAGTCATTTTGGTCTTATGGGTTGTTTATCCTCTCTACTTTTGTCGATGGTTCAGCCCTTGTAAATTTCTTTCTTCTTTAAAAAATTTATTTTCTGTGTAGATCAAAAATAAAAGCATAGACTATTGAATTCACATGCCTACCATGTTATGTTTAAATATATACAGGGAAAAAAAACGTAAATTCTATTATTGGTTTTCCATATGTGAATTTAAAATTGTTGCTTTCATATATCAATTTAATCCTGAAATGAGATCCATTTCACAAATTAAGCTTTGACTGCCTTCCTCTTTGGAAGATTATTTTTTTTTATTTTTTTTTTTTCAGTTATGTTTTGAGCTAAAACTTTGGTGAATGATTACAGTTTGTTCTACATGCACTTAAATAAATATATAATTTAGATCTCTCTATGGCGATAGGGTTATGAATGATTTAGGGTATGCACATAAACTAAATGAATTGCAGGTCTTGGTTTCGAGGTGGAAGAAGATGAATGAATTTTCGCGTGTTCCTCCCGGTTTTCGTTTCCATCCGAGTGATGAAGAACTTGTTGACTACTACCTTAGAAAAAAGATTACTTACAGAAGGATTGACCTAGATATCATTAAAGAGGTTGATCTTTATAAAATTGAGCCATGGGATCTCCAAGGTATCATCAAACACAAATGTTTTCATCCATAGATCATTTTTCTCTCTGATAACTTGTGGTTTCCTGAAGTGCTATTTTTGGTGATTTTACAATTTGTATAAAATACACCAATGGATACACCAATGGCCTCTCAACTATGCATTTTGTGTCAATTTAGTTCTCCAAACTTCAATTTTCTCAACTTGATTTCCCAAGTTTTCAACTTGAGGCAAATTAATCCAATTTCAAATAAATCGTGTGTATTATTAATGGAATCATAAATAATAATAAAAAACATATAAAACCTTATGGCTCCTAAAATTTGCATTTCGTTATCACTTTGGTGTCTAAAGATCAATATTGTCAAATTCAGCCCTCAACACTATAAGGTTATATTTGGATGGTTGGAATCTAAAGTGTGAATGAGATTCTGATTACCAAGATTCCTGAATCATCCAATTATCTCTAGCATTAAATTACAGTGTATTGGATTTTTAATATTGAGATTTTTGTTCAACCTTTGGATTTAGGCCATCCAAATGTAGCCTTAGAGTGTTTTGGGATAAAATTGTCAAAACTGATACACTCCGAATCAAAATGACATGGAAAGACCTTTTTTTCTTATCATCATGCTAATCATTTAGACGATTCATTTGATATTGAATGAATTTGACACAAATTTAAAAATTTTATTGATGAAATTGGATCAATTGAAATTAGAGGATCAAAATGACATATAGCGCATATTTTAAGGATGATAGACATATTTTAACCTTCAAATTTGGACAGAATTATGCAGAATAGGAACAGAAGAGCAAGATGAATGGTACTTTTTTAGCCACAAAGACAAGAAATACCCAACTGGAACTCGCACAAATAGAGCTACAACAGCAGGATTTTGGAAAGCAACAGGAAGAGACAAAGCTATTTACTCTAAGCACAACTTGATTGGCATGAGAAAGACCTTAGTCTTTTACAAAGGTCGAGCCCCGAATGGACAAAAATCAGATTGGATTATGCATGAGTATAGGCTTGAAACAGATGAAAATGGAACTTCTCAGGCAAGTATTCTTACTCTAAATTAATTGAAATAAGCTTCCCTTTATATGGTATTCATAATTAATTAGAATATCACGATTAATTTGTGTTCAGTATTGAGCAATGACTCGTGTGGTTGTGTGCACGAGTTGGTTCCATACCATTAGTAATGATCATGGGAATTCAAACAGCTAGTCAAGAGGATATGATTTGAGTTCATTCTCATTACTATATATTCAAGATTACTCGTGTAAACTTCAATTTCTCTCCTAATGGAGGAGAATTCTAATTTTTAAATATATATATATATATATATAATGCTTAATTCCAAGTTCAAACAAGTTGGTGGCCTTTGTAACAAATATTTGGCTAGCAAGAGTGAAGAAACGGAATGGAAATCTCATTTCAAATTTATTTAATTATGTTACTTGTATGTATCTGAAAATGAGAATGTGATTCTTAATTCGCTTCTCAAGATAGAATGGGATTATCACATTAGTGGGATTACTATCCCCATCTCTCCTAGGGAACTTTAGAAAAGTCTTGGGAATTGAAAAAAACGTAAAATCTAATCCAAAATTTGTAGATTTAATCTTCTTATTATGGGCTTACTCTATGAATGAATCTCATCCTTAAATTTTATGTTCTTAATAATTTTATATATTTTTTTCTTTTTTTGTAGAGCTACTCTAGTATGACTCATTTAAAAATAAAAATAAAAATAGATGGCCCACAAAATTTAAAGTTATATCATATTTTAATGGATTGTTAGCCAAACTAAACACTTAAAATTATATTGATAAAAGAATAGCATCACTTGTTATGGGATTCCTAGTAGTAAGATTTTCGTTCATACTCTTTCATTCCTTGCATCCAAACTTGAATCATAAGTAATTACAAAAGTAGAAATTGGGGAGAGAGATAAAAGTGTGACAAAATCACACAAATTAACTAGGAAATAAAAGTTATATTGTTCCCAATAACTCATTGAACTCCAATGGAGGTCAGAGGTCTAATCAATACTTCCTAGTTCTATTGTCAATAATTCTTCTATTTTCCCCTTTTTCCACAATTTAACCTAAGCTTGTTTGGAGTATGCTATATAAGCACACTTTTTATCTTTTTTGGATTACATCACCTTTCTACTTTTTAAACAATGACACCCAAGGTTTTAATTTTTTCCAAACAGGAAGAAGGTTGGGTTGTGTGTCGAGTGTTCAAGAAGCGGCTAACAACCATGCAAAAAATGAGTGAGCATGATTCACCAATGTGGTATGATGATCAAGTCTCATTCATGTCAGACTTAGATTCGCCGCCAAAGCAAATTTCTCAGCCTAATCCAACTTACCACCATCAATATCCCTGCAAAAAAGAACTAGATTCGCAATACCGGTACCCAATCCCTCATGGCCACTTCCTCCAGCTGCCACTCTTAGATAGCCCAAAATTGTTCCAAACAACACCAACCATGAGTTGCAACTCTGTGGCTACATATGGGATTGACATGAACCATGGAAGCACCATGCAATCCTCATCACTCACACAAGAGGAACACATTCAACAAGCCCATGATCAGAACTTGAATTCAATCTATGGAAATGAGCAAGCAGTGGATCAAGTAACGAATTGGCAAGTGCTCGACAAATATGTTGCTTCTCAACTCAGCCATGAAGATGTTGTTGTGACCAAGGAAAATGACTACTCAAATGGAGAAAACATCTTCCAACAGTTGAATAAACAAGAGATGGCCTCAGAAAATGCCTCAACATCAATGGACCTGTGGAAGTGAAGCCCTTGCTATTAAAGTGAAAGAATGGACCTGTTCCAATGCATTGTCAGCTCGAGGTACTATCTTTTGGCTGGCAACATTGGGATAGAATGACAGAAGATCTCGTGCCTGAAAAAATGGCACATACTGATCATAGGATGTTCAATTATTTTCTACATTCTTGTACATAATAAAACTGAATCAAGATATACTTAACTATATAGTATTAAGTTAACACAATAGTCAGTCCACAACTGAAATCAATATATTTGGTAAGGTCAATTATTGTTACATGGACTTTGGATCTGAGTCTGAGTGTGATTGGGTGGGACTTTAAACCTCAGCATTGTCTGTATGTAATGGCTATTGTTTGTAGCCTGCAGTGATCTGATAACCACATATGTGCTTGTATGTTCATCTCAATAATAGTGTTAAAAAACATTTTGTATTTTGTTATTTTTCTATAAAATGTAGCAAAAGTAGCTTGGAGCTTTTTATCCCCCTCGTGAATCATGATCCATTTTGATTTCAAAATTATAAAGAGAAAAGAGAATAAATATTTTTATTTATGGGATGATGGATATAATTTTGAAGTTTGGATTAAACCACTGTGACATTAAAAAAAAAATAAAATGGAAGAATCCAATTGGTGTCACATGCTTAAAATGTGATTGATTTATAAAATAAGACCAGTGCTTTTGTGTTGGTATTTTCCTCAACATGCAGGGATGTCAATTGGTGATTGATGTGGAGTAATGCTTCAGAAACAATCAATAATTATTCAATACAAAACAATAAAATCTGCAAGCCGCAATTTTTGTGAAATCAATTTTACCATCTTACCTACAACTAATTAGTGTTAGAGAGAGTTTCACTTATATATTTTACGACATTCAAAATCAAGCACACAAGTTTGTTTTTAGAACGATCATAAGGAAAGACATTGTGTACCCACCACCAGTATCAGTCGTATTGATTTTATCTGTGTTTATGCCTTAACTCTCCCTCATAGAAGAGAGTTATTCTCATGGGAATTGGCTGAAGAGGTGAGATTGAATGCTCTCTTATCCTCTGCGCCATCTCTGTGTTTGGATTGTGAAGACTGCTTAGTATGGTGCACAGATTCTGGTCAGAGCTTCTCTGCTTCTGCTCTCTATTCTTACCACTCATCTCTCTTTGGCTCCCATCTCAAGGTTAGCAAATTTGTTTGGAACTCATTATTGCCCCCCAGAGTATCTTTTTTCACCTGGCTAGCCTGGAAATCTAGAATCAAATGTTCTGACTTTCTGCTCAAGATTGGTACTCTTGACAACAATGCTTCTCCCCTCTGCCATTTTTGCAACTCTGAAGTAGAAACTGCTCCCCATGTACTGCTTCATTGCCCTTTCTCCTGGTCAATCTGGTCAGTGGTTATTGAGGATTGGGGCCTACATTTGTGTATTCCTAAGTCTGTAGATGGCCTGCTTTATTGGTGGATGAGCTGGAAATTCTATAATTTTGACAAACTAATATGGAGAGCAACTCCCTTAATTGTACTATGGTCTATTTGGAAACTCAGAAATGATTGTGTATTTTCTGATGCACAACCCTCTTCTTCAGGACTGCTAGATCTCATAAAATTCAGATCTGCCATTTGGCTCAAAGCTTCCATTAAAGAATTCCCATACTCAGTTCATGATCTCGTCTACAATTGGAGGCAGATTAGGGGCGGAATTTAGTGCTCCAATTTCAGTTTAGACAGTTTTGTGCTATCTGGGTTGATGCTGTCTGCTGCATTAGTGTTCTGTCAGTGTGTCTGCTGGTTTGTTCTAGTTTCAGTTTTGTTCTACCTTCTATTTTGCTCTGTCTGCTATCTGCTGGTTTGTTGTGCGTCAGTGTTGGTTTGTCTGCTGTCGAGCTGTGCATCAGTGCTCTATCTATGTTCTAGCAGTCTAATTTTGGTCAAAGTACATCACTGCCTATTGTTCTACTTTGGTTAGGGACTGCTTCTACTGTCAGTTTGATCTGCTCTGCTCAGTGCAATGTATAGCTTCGGTGGGTGTTGCTTGGTTGTGTTATAGTCAGCGGTTTTGCTCCTTACGGTTAAGATGCTGTCCAGATTTATCAATACAGTGGATTGGTAACAGCAGTGGTTTTGTTCCTTAAGCCTCATTTGTTAGTAGTGTGGATTGGTGATGGCTTGGGTGAAGTTTAGTTATTTTGTTATGCTCCTCTTCTGCTTTTTTTTTGTTTTGGTTTGTTGTTGGTTTCTCACCAACTGGCGCTTGGAGCTTCAGTTAGCTCCAAGCTCCTCTTTATTGATGTCCTGTATCCTTTTTGCATACAAAAAATAAAATGGAAGAATCCAATTGGTGTCACATGCTTAAAATGTGATTGATTTATAAAATAAGACCAGTGCTTTTGTGTTGGTATTTTCCTCAACATGCAGGGATGTCAATTGGTGATTGATGTGGAGTAATGCTTCAGAAACAATCAATAATTATTCAATACAAAACAATAAAATCTGCAAGCCGCAATTTTTGTGAAATCAATTTTACCATCTTACCTAAAACTAATTAGTGTTAGAGAGAGTTTCACTTATATATTTTACGACATTCAAAATCAAGCACGCAAGTTTTGTTTTTAGAACGATCATAAGGAAAGACATTGTGTACCCACCACCAGTATCAGTCGTATTGATTTTATCTGTGTTTATGCCTTAACTGAAAGTTAGATTATCTGTCATAATAAAAATGGTTGATTAATTTTCAATCCAACAGATACATATATAACTGACATAGACTCTGATCATTTTGTACCTAAACCAGTCTATATATTTTAGGGAAAATAATAAATAAGTGGCAAGTTAAAAAATAAAGGATAAAATTCATTTTATCCGTTTATGGTTTGAGAGAAAAGTATTTTCCCCCTGTGTTTCAAATACAATCAGAAAGCTTCCATATGATTTTGGATCAAGTAATGTGAAATTATTATAATATCCTCAAATTTTGTACTTTTTTTGTTATTTTCTTTTCTCTCCTATCTTATATACATTGTTAGGCTTTTATTCTTGGCAATCCCGTTTAACAAAACTCCTTTCAGTTGTATTTGTTTTCGCATTCTTATTTCAACGAGGCTATGAGTGTTTAGATGCGAATCCAACCCGAATTGTGCCTTACAGAGAAGTTTGTGATGTTAATGCTTTCAAGATTGCTACTTCGCTGATTATGACGGGGGTCGAGCTGCCCGGTCAACTCGCGCCCGAAGCAAAATGCAAAATTACACTCAAAGTTGGTTGTCCGCCCTTGCTTGCTCGAGCGAAGAAGTCCTCGCTCGAGCGAAGGATTGCATTTATACAAAAACCTGAAAGAGCTCATTGGTCGCTCCAGCGAAGGGTCCGTGGCTCGAGCAAAGGCACTAGTGGAAATCACGCGAGTTAAGGTTCTCGCTCGAGCGAAAGAAGCTTCGCTCGAGCGAGCTTCAAAATCCGGATTTCTATAAGGAATTGGTTTTCTTCCAAAACTAGGATTACTTTGGATTTCTATAAGTAGTTGGTTTTCTCCCAAAACTTGTTTAACTCTCTAGGTCTTCTTTTTAGATTCTAAGGTTTATATCTGGGGATATTTTGCTAGTTTTCTTTGATGTTTTGATTGAGTATTCAACTCATGGTTTAAAGAGGATACATCAAAGGATTATTTGTTTATTCTACACAAAAGAGAGAGTTATTTTTTGGTGGATTCTGAAGAATTCGAGCCTGAACCTTTGGTGGATTCCGGAGTGGCTCATCGTCAAGATAATTCTAAAGTGAAAACGGGGTTGGAAGAGACACATAGAGGTTGGTTAAATTCGGGCGTGGATTCGCTAGGTAATTGAGAGTATACTTGTGTAATTCCTTTATATCTTCTTAGTGAATTGTTTTGTGGCTGTTCCCCGTGATTTTTTTATCACAATTGGAGGTGTCCAATTGTAATTTTTTCACGTAAAATCGTTGTGTCGATTTGTTTTGATTGTTTGATTGGGATTGTTATATACTGCTTAAAATTGATACATAATCACAAATCAACATCTAAGGGATTTCTAGATTTTTCAATAGGTATCAAAGCGGGTTGCTCTTTTGTTTTTTAAAACTTTTGAGCGAGATCCTGTTTGATTTGTGATAATAGATTCAATTCGTGAGGGAAATTCTATGGTTCGACCACCCCTACTTGACGGATCCAATTATTCTTTTTGAAAAGCTCGGATAAGATCGTTTTTTAAATTTATAGATGAAAAAGTTTGACAATCTGTCATGAATGGATGGACCGAACCAATAATTACCGTTGATAGAGTAATTTTCTCCAAACCAATTGAAAAGTAGGACACAATTGATTACCAAAATAGTAGCTGGAATAGTAAAGCTATCAATTCTCTCTTTTGCGCTTCACACCTGAAGAGTTTAGTCGTATTTGCAATTGTGAAGTCGCAAAAAAGGCTTGGGATATCTTACAAACTATTCATGAGGGCACTCCTTTTGTTAAACGCTCAAAACTTCAAAGGCTCATGTCTAGTTTCGAAAACCTTTCAATGAAAGATAGTGAGACCTTTGATGAATTTTATGCGAAGTTGAGTGACATTGTAAATTCCAGCTTCAATTTAGGTGAAAAAATACCAGAATCCAAAGTTGTTGGAAAAATTTTGAGATCCTTGCCCGATCGGTTCCAACCAAAAGTTATGGCTATTGAGGAGGCTCAAGATGTTGACAACCTCAAGTTGGATCAGTTGGTTGGAAATCTCCAAACTTATGAGGCACATAGGAATTTCAAAAAGAAACAAAAAGATATTACTTTTAGTAGTGCTCATAGAGTTGAAGAGGATTCTGATGAGGATTGTGAGATAGATTCCAAGATTACGGCTGCTTTTGTTAAATAATTTAAAAAATCTTTTTTGAAAAAGAATCATAAACTTTTGGAATCTACTCATACTCATAAATTTAAAGGTAAAGATAAATTCAAAATTAATTCTATAGCCAAAAAGGAGAAAGGAAAGATACAAGGGAACTCTGAAAGAGTCCAATGCTATGAATGCCAAGGATATGACCACTTTGCTTCAGAATGCCCCACTCATTTGAAGAAGAAGAAAGCCCTCGCCATCACTTGGGATGATGAATCAGAATCTGATGAAGATGAAAGTAACAACGAAGATTAAGGCGAAGAGGGACATAAACAATTTCTTGCTTTCATGGCGGCTTCCGAAACTGAAAGACGAACAGAGTATCCGAAGAACCCGGTTGAGAATACCACTGATAATGAATCCTTGGGAAGTGATGATGAAGAGCTTGAGCAAGCTTATGAAAAGTTGTATAAGGAATCTCTTAAGTTATCCAAATTGAATGACAAACTCACTATGAAACTCAAAACATGTGAAAGTGAGAATGTCAAATTAAAAGAGGAGATTTCTGAGGCTAGGATTGATGCCATCAAGATAGCTAATCATTGACAAGCTCTTTGTGCAAAACTCTTGACTTGTGAGACAGAGAG